GAGTCACTACTCACTGTATAAGCAATTTATTTTCTGTTTTAACCTCATCTTTTGCTGGTTGCTTCCTAGATCCCATATCACAATCTAGGAAACAAGATGCAAGATTAGTTCAATTAGCACACTCATCACTTTGTAAATCACAATTACATCTCTCCATTGCCTGCTTCTCTTCAGATCCAAGGCCCACCGTTTTCAGTCTGTAAGGTAAGAGCTTCAACCCCTCAACAAGTTTTGCTTCCCTTTTACTCTGCTACAAGAACACAGGGTTTTTTGTGTGTTCATTTTTTTTTTAAAAAAAAAACATTACACTCTCTGTCCTGTTCCTAATAACTTTCCTAGGAGCTCCAACATTTTATTGACTTCTGCTTGCCATCGCATACTGAGCTGATGATTTCAGACAGCCATCAGCAATGGCTCCAAGATGTCTTTCCTGAGTTATAACTCTTCATTCCAAATTTGGTATAGATCATTTTTTCCCAGATCCTTTGCCCTATATTTATCTATGTTCAAGTTCATCTGCCATCTCAGTGCAAGTTTAGTTTGGTGAAGTCTAAAGAATTTGAAAGAACTTGCTAACATTTGCAAACTCTGACTCCATTTCTTCAGCTGCCATTTCAAAGGAGATGACTTGGTTAACATTCATAACTCCCTAGGAAAAAGAAATCTCTCCAAAATCCCCTTGAAGTCTGAAAGCTGGTTTCTACTTGTCTAACTAAGGGGAGCCATCATGTGTGATTTACAGAGTCAGTAAAGACAACAGAGTTCTGTAAGTCCTGTAAGGAGAAGAGGAAAGGATACTACCTCCATCTGCTTCTTAGCTCCACAGCAAGGAGACTTTGCTTTCTATCGGAGTGCTGGGATTATTCCTGAAAAACACCTGATGTGTAAAATGAACATTCAGACAGATGAATTAAGTAGTTTATGGCGCTAAGATGTTGCTATGTCTTAACAAAAAAAGAGGAAAATGTGAGTTCTATCCATTCAGATGAGTTACTTTAGTTATTAGGAGTATTCCTAACTGCACTCCTGGCAGCTTTGCTTATTTAGAAGTTAAGCCCTGGAGAGTGAGTGGAAAGGTTATCCCTTAGGTCAGCATGAAGGGCATTCTATGGCTGTAGCTCCATCTACTGGTACTGACTGGTGTGATCATAGAATCATAGAATCACTTGGCTTGGAAAAGACCTTAAAGATCATAGAGTCCAACAGTGACCTAACCATACTACCCTAACTAACAACCCTCTGCTAAATCATGCCCCTGAGCACCACATCCAAATGGTTTTTAAACACATCCAAGGATGGGTGACTCAACCACCTCCCTGGGGAGCCTATTCCAGTGCTTAACAACCCTTTCTGTAAAGAAGTTTCCTGATATTCATCCTGATCTCCACACTTGAGTGGGAATCAGCAACATTTCCCTCACAGGTCTTTTTAAAATGAAATTAAATTCACCATTAATTTCTTCTCCTGATATCCTTTCATCCAGCAGAGGCACTTGAGTCTCTGAAACACCCAACGTGGTGGTACCAAGGAAGTGTTGGTACTGTGGTAATCCATCTTGGGAATTTGATGTAACGTTGTACCTCACAGCTCGTCCAACCCTAGGCCAATCACAGCCTACCAGTCAGGTCCCCTAAAACAATGGGAGCCCACAGGTGCTGGATTTTAAACTTGGAGACTTCATGCTTTCTACTTTCACCAACAATCACCAGGGTTATTTTTCCTTTAATGGCAGCAGCTATTCCAGCAAGAGCTTATCCCAGCAGCAGGATCCTTAGTAGAAAAGACAAATGACAAAAGGCCAAGGAATTTGTAATGCCGTTTATTTCAAAGGTCAGCTCTCTTCAGTGCTGAAGGAAAATTCTGCTCTTCTTTCCATCACTGAAATTACATGTGACTTGACCCCAAGGGAAGTTTCATTTTTATAACTAAAAGCAAAATTTGGCCTCTTGTTTATCATGAGACATCCCTTTTTCTAAGAAAATTTGCTCCAGCTACAACTCGGACTGGTCAACAAAATCATTATTCAATGTATTTAGTTTTACATTTTAGGTCATTGACTGAAGCTTGCTCTTTGGCCCAGGAACAGCTGTCACTGCTATGGGTCAGCTCAGCCATGCTTCAGCACTCAGATGACACCTCTGTCTACCTATTCCCCTTTTCTGATAATCGATGTTAACCAAGTTGGAGTCATGGAACAGAGTAAGAGAAGAACAACTCTGTCCTTTTTCCAACCCTTAGAGCTAGCACTGAGTTGGGAACACTTCCCCTTCCTCTCTGATCCTGCATTTAGTGTTGGATCATCTGGTGATTATTGACTCTGTCTCTTATTTAAACAGTCCAAGGCTCTAAGCTGGCCCTACAGGTTTCCCACGGCATCACAACCCAGGCCAAGGTATTTACAGTCTGCACAACAGGGATAGCAAGGAGTCAAGACTCACACAAGATGCTAGGTTTAATACATGGGACAAGCGTAGTGAAGTGCTATGGTCTTAGCTCTCATACAGTCAGTGGGCCGTTCACACAGTTCCTCCATTTGCCTTAACTTCATGCATTATTTTGGTGGAACCATCTTGAGCCCATCTTGTGCCCTTTCACGCATGAGCTGCCTAACAGCAGATTATACCCAAATACACAACAGTGGTTTCTGGGTTGTCCAGATCATGCTGTAGCTCCCTCCTTGCCTGCATGTCCAACTTCCTTTCCATAAGCAGGCAAGAGGCAGGGAGAGGAGGAGATGCCTCTTTTAGTCTTACAATCTCAGAGCTGTGACGTTGCTGAAATGTTCAGCTAGGCCCAAGAGGTTGAAAATATCTCTAGGCCCTTCAATTTGGAAGTAATAAGATCTGTGGTATCATTAATTACACTAGTAATTTATTCTACAGTATGCTTTCCTATTCAAAAGTATTTGTGAAGAAAAACTGATACAGTACTTGCATGGACAGAAAAAAGAGGTAGCAAAGTTGTTGGCTTTTTCATTAAAGAAAACAGTTTTTGCCTCTTCAATTTTTTTCAAAAAGCTTACTGAAGCTAAAACAATGCCTGCAACAAAGTAATCATCCCTGGGCACTGTGAGTAGAACTGCCCAAGCATGTAATCAGATCACTAGAAGTCCCAGCGCCATTGTACAGGAAAATAGGGCAGTGTGAGGTCTTGGCTCTGCACTAAGAAGAGTGCAGAAAGATCTTTTTCTTCACAAGGAACCCTCCGGGCTTGCTCTCATCTGCTGTTTATTTTTCCAGATTGCTGGTCCACTGATACGGGTTACACTTTGCTGAGAAAATGTGTTTGGATGAGATTAAAAGGTCCAGTAGTTCTTTGAAGAATACAATCACTGCTGCAATAAGGTATGAGTCTGCAGCAGTTCTGAGACAAGAGCCCATTTGCAGCCTTTCACAATCAATCTGATCAGTCTGAATTATTCACAATCTCCAGAATCCATAAAGATAATTGCAATAATCCCACAGCAACTAAGGTGTTAAAAACATACCTGTCTACAGATGACTTGATCATTGTGCTTCCTGAAATGCAGCTTTACAAGTCAGTTACCAAGACTCAGCTCAGGTTTCTGATTCAGCTTCAGGTTTTGGGGGTTGGACTCGATGATCTCTGGAGGTCCCTTCCAACCCCTACAATTCTGTGATTCTGTGATTCTGACCTGAAAGGTGCTATGCCCTGACAGGCTGGATGCAGCAGTGTTTTGCTAATGCCAAGGATATAGAGCTCAAACCTTGCATATGAGGAAGCAGCTTAAAACTGCAGATTCTTCAGGACTTGTTTTCTCTTCTAAGAAGGAGATCATTAAAAAAAAAAAAAAAAAAAAGCAAATTATATATTTAAAAAAAAAATATATGCTCTCACTTTCCTGCTTTCCTTTTTGTGAGATCATTAAGTCCAATGTTACACTGGCATCTCAGTTTTAGGAATCATGATTCACCGTTATCTTCAGGCAAACCACAGAAAGCTCTTCTGTACAACCTGGTGGACTGGCAACTGAGCATGAAATGCATCAGGATCCTGGTGTTCAGAGATCAGTTTCACAGAAAGCAAATAAAAGTGGTGGCTCTCAAAGAGTTTTACACTTTTACTTTTTTTCTTCAAATTCAGACAGGAAAATATCAGTACCTAGAGGGAGCCTATAAACAGGAGGGGAGTCAACTCTTTGAAAGGGTAGATAATAGGACAAGGGGAAATGGTTTTAAGTCAAGGAAGATTTAGTTTGGATACCAGGGGGAAGTTCTTCACAGAGAGAGCAGTGAGGTGCTAGAATAGGCTGCCCAGAGAGGCTGTGGATGCCCTGTCCCTGGAGGTGTTCAAGGCCAGGTTGGATGGGCCCTGGGCAGCCTGGTCTAGCATTAAATGTGGAGATTGGTGGCCCTGCCTCAGGCGGGGGGTTGGAGCTTCATGATCCTTGAGGTCCCTTCCAACCCTGGCCATTCTGTGATTCTGTGATTATAGGAATGTCAACATTTTTTAAAGTTATAAAGCATTCACTTAGTGATTTGTCAGTGCTTTTTCTTTAACAGTTTATGGAGGACACAGATCTGCACAATCTCTGCCTGGTTCTCACTCTTTCACTTTCTACAGATGTGTTTTTACAGCAGTGTTTTAAAGCAGCTAAACTTTACTCACTTTATAGGTTTTAATCCACACACAGGTGTAAGAAATCACAATAGACTGATCCTGTACATGTCAGTTATCACTGCAGGAACTGTATCACTTTAACTTATTTCCAGATAATTCAGCAAGTCAGTAGAGTTAGGACTTCTGTGAAGCACCCTCTGTGTATCATTTGCTGAACATGTCTGAGCAAAGGTTCAGCTTTGTAAACTGTGTCCTTTCATTTCTCTTCAGCAACAGCCAGTGAACTATTGCTTCTCCTTACATCCTTTGCAAGCTGTTTCTCCTCAGTGACTACTTATTTACTGGCAGCTACTGAACATTGATATACAAAATAATATGAAATACTATTAAATATTTCCTGATTCTAGAAGATTAAGTACCTGTATGGTATGTTTGATTCTCCTGCACTGTAGCTTCACATTAGATAGAGACATCTGATGAGAACAGCATTTGGTATCTGTAGCCTCATCCCTTTCACCTTGAATTTACTGCAACAGTAAATATCCCTATCTTCTTCCCAGCCCCTTCCATTCTTTGAAGACGTAAGCTTGTGTTCTTCAGTGTCACCAGTCACAGGCTTGGGGGCATTTCTGAACATTTAAGAGAAAAGAATGATATGTGTAAGAATCAGCCCACACATACCACCTGTAGTAACTATCACAAGGGTTGTGTTACTCTCCTCTAAATATTTGCATAAAGACTTTGCAGCAAGCACACACGTACTATTTGTGAGTCACACCTGTCATTTTCATTATGTATAAGGTAATATCAAATTAATTACTGGTTGTTGGGTCAGGGTTTGTTTTGTTTTTTTGTTTTGTTTTTAAGAATGCAACTCCTTCCTTGCTCTGATGCATCTTTCCTTTGGTTTTCCTCAAAGACCATTAAGATTCCTTGCATACTAGCAGACCATTTATGCCCTTGTTAGCCATGAAAGCCACCTCTTCATTACCTTAGTTCTTACCTTTATTTCTTCTCTGCCCTTTGTTTGTCTTTGATAGTTAAGAGGGAAAGTTCAGCCTTTCCTCACTACGCAAATAGTTCCCAAGCTTTTCTAACTGCACTCTGCTATCTGGGTTTCTGTAAGTAGATAAAGAGATTTAAACCAAACCCACTAGTCATCATCCTTACACCTCAGGTTCAAACTCAGAGGTAGGTACAAAGACCAACTAAATCTGGTCAGCTTTTTAACTGACATCATGTGTCATTCCTTTTCTGTAAGTATAAACAGGCAAAAAAAATTAAGACTTCTCCCTCATCATCCCAGTTGGTTGCAGGGGCTGTGGCATGCATACCCTGTGGTGTGCAGCACACATCTAGGCTGCAGGGCGAGGAAGTAACCATATCAAAGTGCTGTGCCCATTTACAGTGTTGTTGAAGCTGACCTTGCATTTCTCCTCAGTAACATTTGTGCAAATCACTAAACAAATCTAACACTAATGAAACTGTGCCTTCTTAAGAAACCTTAGCCTTAATTTTCTATGTGAGGCATCAAGAGCATCTATTTTTAAATGTGCCCTGGAAGTTCATTTTCTGCACAGTTATGAATATGCATTATCTTTGTGCATACATATAAGCACATATATATGAGTTTGCATGGGTGTATGTTTGTACTCACAAGCAGTCTTTCAGAAGAAAGAGCTGGATGTGGCTCTGAGCAGCCTGCTCTAGCTGTAGCTGCCCTTGTTCACTGCAGGGCAGTTGGACTAGATGGCCTTCAGGAGTCTCCCAACTCAAACGATTCTGAGATTCCGTAGAAGGTCAGACTTGCCACGTAGTTTTTTTGCTATCTTCCAAACAGAGGATTAATAACCAGACTGCTGCCATAAACATTTTATGTAACTTTAATGCTGCTTAGATAAGCCTGTTAAACATTTTCATCCATATACTCCAGTGTTACTGTACATATTTTATACAATATGAAATATTTTTTTAAAGTATATGGCTCTAGATAAAACATTCACAAAACAAGTTCCAATGCAAGTAAAGGATTAGAAAAGAAAAATCAGGCAGAGTACAAAATCTTTGTAAGACAAAAACTTCAGAAAACAAGATATACAAAAACATCCCTCTGCAGTAATTCACGACTGAGTGGTTCCAGAAGTTGGAAAGGCTGCCACTCAGTGCTGCGTCATTGATAAAAATCTCTGTGCTGGGTCAGCAGGGACTGAAGGACTCCATGAGGTTGGCAGCTTTCAGAGATCCTTGTTCCTGACAAATTTGGCAAGTACCTTCCATAACAGGCTCTCACGTTGGTTGGCTCAAGGAGAAAGAGCAGGTCTGGAAATGAGGAACATCCTGTCTTTCCTCACCGAACCACTGCTGCTCTCTGTAGAATTCTAAGGTGCAGTCTCTGCAGAAGTGTAAGGTGCAACAGCAAGCAGCAGTGAGCAAGAAGTTCTGTGAATGACAGGGAACTTCTATGCTCCCAGATTATTAATTTGGCACTAGCGACAAGAGTTGTTAAGGAGCAGGGCACAATGCTATATTCAAGTTGATTTTATATTTATAATTGTGTCATTACACAACTGGAATATTCAATTAACATTCCTTTCTGCCAAAAGCCAACTCTGTAACGGGCGGACTGCTTTGCATTTCACTGCTTCCAGAAAGATGTTGTTGCATAGGCATCTGTCCAAATAAAAACACCTTTACACAACACAACATCAGGATGTACCAAATACTGCACTGCAAGAATTGAGGTCAGACAGTAGTCAACATTTGGTAACATTCCATTCAAATGATGTTGACTCACATAATAAGTAACAAAAGCAGCACTTAAGTTACAAAAACAAAGCTGTATTTCCACAAAGTAAAACAGTGCAAATATTCCTGTCAAATTTATGCCACTTATATACACACACACCACACAAATGCACTGTTTGTTTTGCAGTATAAATAGATCTGATTGAGCTGATTTTCTAAAACTAATCAACTACTTACTTTTTAACAATCCCAGACATTTTCCATTTACAAAAGAATACAATAAGCTGGAATGATCAGATCACCATAGCTGAATATGGTTTGTAAAACAACAATGAAAGATTGCACTGGATGGATATTTAAAATATTGTCTCTGTACAAAGTTAATAACACATACTAAGCTGATATCACAGCCAGATTGGACTCTGATCATGCAAAGAGCAGCACACACAAGATCAGTGACACTACAAAAAGCCTCAAGGCCCTACCTGTGTGAAACACACTGTAATGCAGCAGCACACGTAGAGCCCAATCCCAGGCCTTTACAAGGGGGGTAGCTTTTTTAGCTGCCTATGCAGGTAACATGTCTGTTTAGTTTCAGTTTTCTTCCTGTTCTTCTGGTTTAGCACCAGAATTCTGTTATCTACTAGCAACATCTGTTTATCTCTGAACTCTGGATTACAGTTCAACAAATAATGTTTATAAGGAGTTCTCAATGAAAGTAAAAAATAAAAAAAGGAAGAGACAGAAACTTATCTCCTGTTAAATAAATCCTGATTAAGGGTTATTTGCATTTCAGCACTTGGAAACAAATTTTAAGCAAAAAGTCTTTTTAGAATTACATTACAGTAAAACAGACAAGTAGTACTTAATTTGATCTGAAGTAGAACACTCAGGAATCAGAGTCTCTTCAACTGCTATAGTTTCCATCTCCTCAATGCCAGGGCTGTGCTGAAACCATAACAAACAGCTGTGGCAAAGGCAAAAATCTAAAGGGTGAGCAGGAAGAAAAGAAAAAAGAAAAGAAAAAAAGTGAATCACACATTATATTGCTCTACTTTTTTTTTTTTCTATTTTAGATTAATATAACACAAATGCCACAAAAGGTACCTCCCCGATGGTAAAGATAACTCTGGGATCCTCCGAAGCTCTCTATCATAAACTCTGTTTTAATCCCACATCACTGTTTTTAATTTAGTTGCTAGTTGCTGAAGATATTTTGAAATAGGATATAAACAGAACGTGTTTGTGGGTCATTGTAGAAATTAATCGCACGTACTTCCATCTTATATTTCAGTTTTCTCTTATCTAGACTGATAACCTATGATTAGTGTTTGACTAGAAAGTATCCAGATGAATGCCTTCACTGGCAAACAATGAAGCAGACGTCCCTCTAAACAGCAGAGCTCTTTACTTGCAGAAAGAAAGAAACAGATTGAAGTTGGGCCTTGTTAGCCAAAAAAAGAAGACATGACAGCAGATTATTGAGAAATGTCAGGAAGCTGCTACACTCGAGAAATTGAACAGATAAGAACTGCAGATCGTGCCATGGCAAAAGTGAATATGTAATATAAACAAGAAGGAAGAAGTTAGAAACTGAGTTGTTGGAAGTGATAGTTTCTCATATTGTCCAGTACTGATCATGGACACTTTCTATTAGGGCATATAGAAAAAATACAAAGACACTAAAAACTACATTATCTGATCCACCATCTCCCAGCATCTCTTAATTAACAGTGAAGGCGAGTTACAAAATCATGTCCTCTTACTCCATCTTAGCAGAAATCTGAGGGTTATGAAGTACTGAACTCTCCTTAGGAAAAAAAAAGCATGGAAGGAGTAAAGAGTCCTTGTATTTCTCAGTATTCTGCTGTCAGAGAAGATAAAATATTTTTCTTCAGTCACACGAGTTACCATATATCGAGTAAGATCTGAACACATTGAAACAGGGACTGAGGAGCTACTCTAAAGCTTGGAATTTCAGATGTATAATTAATTCAAAGCTCTCCCTCAGTTTAGTCACAGTTGAGAGACATCACTTGTCTACCAGCCATGGCCATACAGGAATTTGATGTGCTGGACTATGTCACTGGCAAGTGGGTAATGGTGGAGGACTTGAGACTCACATGCTCAACTCGCTCTTTCAGCACTTGGCTTGCCAAGGCCTTTCTTTTCCACTCCTGAAGAGAGGATGTAAATCTTACACTTTGGGTTTATCCATTTTGATCCACTCTTATATGAGCTGAAGGTATTTCCTGAGTAAAATTTATGGTTATCTAATTTTGAGGACAAGAGATAACCCCAGAATGATTCAGAAACTTAATAAATGTAAGAAGTTCCTTTAAGTATGTGAGATGCCCTGGAAGATGTAAAAACAAACAAACAAACCCAACAACCCAAGCCCAAAAATACAACAAAAACCAAACCAACCAACCAGCCGACCGACCCAAAACACAAAACAAGCAGTAGTTTTGGTTCTTCAGCTTAATTCTGCTGGCACACCTTTAGTTGCCACTCAGGAGTCCAGCCAGAGAGAAAGCTAAAGCTTTGTGTATTTTCTGGCTCAGCAATGCACACTCACATCACCAGATACAGTGATTCAGTGATGATGCAATTATAGCAATAAAAAAGTGATTGGAGCTTAGATCAATAAAAGCTCTCTAATCCTTACCACTGGAGATAGCATGCCCCTTGCAGCTATTTTTTATCAGAAAATACTTATCTGGAGCTTCATAAGGAGCTAGTCCAAGATTCTTTCCTACAGCAATCTCAGGACTATCTAAAAGGTATCAAAAGTTGTACCTGACGCTTTGATGAAGGCTCAGTTTTCATCTTTTTCTTCTATTCCAATACCCAGCATTGCTTTTACAAGATATCTCATCTAAAAACTAGATTTTGTAGCAATCACAGACCTAAAACACCACTGTGAAAAGTATCATCTAAGCATCTCTCTCATGAGGCCCCATTAATAGATAACTGCACTTTTTTTGCACTTTTGCTGCTTTAAGAATGTTTGCTGTTTTCAAAGACATTTTTCTTCCCCACAATCCCTCCTCCTATGCCAGCTCAGTTCCCAAGTTGAAAGGCTGGTTACCAGCAGTTACAACAATTCCACTGCCAGATACAAGTTCATGAAATACATACCGATGCTGCTACGCTTATGTTATATTCGTGATCACCTAGAATCTTCACATATGTTGTGGAATTTAATCTGCGAGGGTAGTGATGCAGAGATGTAGTTGCTGCTTGCAGTAGAAAAGCTCCAAAATAAAATACAAAAGTAGCACCATGGAAAAGAAAGTCCTGAAAAGCAAATAACAGGTTCAGTCTGGGCTGCTGTACTCAATTCTTCTAGTCTCAGCATAAATAAAATCCAACACAGAAACATGAAATGAATAGTGATAACAATAGTTGTTCATAAGCAATGTTTAAGCATGACATATTTTCATATCTGCCTACAATTATAAGTAACTCAACATAATTAGAAATAGAGGGCAGCACTCCCTCTTCCAAACCCTGCATTCTTTCAAATTAAGAGGCAAGCACTCATCTACATGCACATATACTGACCTTTTAAAATCACTTTAAAGCTAAAAGTGGGCACTCACAGAATTCTCCCTTAGTGAGCATTAGGTTAAAAACATTAGGACACATATAGGCCAGCTCTGCCACAACACAACCAGTACAAGCTTGCAGTCTCAAAAATCCCTTCTCAGCTAACCTAAACTCCAAAAGCACCCCCTTACTTGCTTCAATTTTGATTCTGGAAATGCCCAGAAACACACCAGCCCTGACACAGCTGAAATGTACTTCTAGGCACACAGTCCAAAAACTGAGGCACTTCTACAATTCTTTCTGACTTCGCCCTATGCAAAATACAGTAGTCTGGAAGTACTTCATGATACTGCT